AGTCAAAGCCCAAGTTTTTGTTCTTGTTCATTAAGGGACACAGGAATTCAAAGACTGTTGGGTTATACTGCCATATAAGGAGGCACTGGCAAATCAAAATTGTGGCCATGCTGGTAATGGTATAACCCCTCCTATTCCAGCATGCCTCCTTTTTTGTTTTTAGCTATTTATTTATTTTATTAATAGATTACATCCCTGCTTGAGCTGGCCTCTATTCAACTATCTAGATTGATATTTTTTCTGTACTTTTCTTTGGAGGCCATACCTGCACCCTGCTAGGCTGAACGAATGCAGGAAATGTGACCTTTTCAACACAGTGCTTTGCCTACTATGTTAGCTGCTGAGCCCTGTCCAGGTCTGGAGTTGCAGCACAGTTCCAGGTGTGACCCTTTCTGTAAATTGTGTAAGCCAAGCATCAGGAACAAACTTTTCACCAGAGCCATTAGGAGCTTTTAAAATCCCTGCTTACCGTGGAAGGTTTAGTGATTTAACACCAATGTCAGCTGGATGGAGTATCACGTGCATTTTGACATCTTTCCAGACATTTGGCTTTGAAGAAGCACCTTCCTGCTGCTGCTACTGGCTGGAAGCAACACATGGATCTGTTCTGTCTCTGCTGACCACCCATAGCTACCTAGTAACCTTTTGGCTATCTGATCTTCTGCTGCTACGTGTGTGTGTGTGTGTTTTGTTTGACCTTTTGTATTTGTAGAGAAAGTGGACGACAAACTGGATTGCTATGTATTCAATTTTTAAATTTCCTAAATTGCTAGGCTAACACAGTATTTTTGCTATGTGTTTTAATATTGTTGTGTTCTGTTATACAGCAACCTATTCCTGTTCGAGAGGGTGACACCGTGTGTGTGCGGTTCTGGCGTTGTAACAATGGAAAAAAGGTCTGGTATGAGTGGTGGGCGGTGACATCTCCTGTCTGCTCTGCTATTCACAATCCCACTGGCCGTTCATACACACATAGGACTGTAGGAAGCCATCTCACAAGACTTTACTTGATCCTATTTATTGCTGCAAGTAGTTTGATGCAGAGCATGTCATGGGTGGAAATATGCTGTGCCTTAAACAGCTTACTCTGGAAGACCGTGGAATTTAGAAGATACAGCAGTACAGGATATATGGTTCATTCTTAGCACTGTTTTTTTATTAAATGTTAATAGAAAAAATAACTAATAAACTGAAATGCAGTTACTTCATCATAAATGTAAAGGCATTTTCCATTTCTGCTATTTCCCCCCTCCTCCTCTCCCATTGAGATAGGTGCAGCTCTATAAACACCAGTTCTGTAAATTTAATCTGCACCATGTGTCATGCGCTCTGTCTGGAGACAGACAACCTTGTGGAGAAAGAGAGAAATGTGGTGGTCTTGAAAATTATGCGGATTGTTCCTGCATGAGAAGACATTAAGGGCTCATATACATATGTGAATTTTTTTTTTTTTTGCTGCGGAGACAACTGCAAACCTTGTCACTTCTAAATACAAGTAAAATAGAAAAATACTAGCGCTGTATTTGTGAAGGAATGGATTCCATGCAGTTCCTGTGCGCCCCATAGGCTGTTTAACAGTCTGCTTAGTTTCTCTATCCAAGCTGCAGGTTTACAGATTTGATTGGAAGTGCCTTGTAGTTACTGGTCAGTTACCAGTATTAGCACATGGGAAGGTGATCAGAAACCAGTGTTTGGTTTCTGATATGGTCACTATAGTTGGGGAAAAGAACTACACACATTCTGCTGCTTGAAATTGCTTTTCCTGTGAGAGGTCAGCTTGACACCCAGAAACCTAAGGCAACTTTTGATACCTTAAAAAAATAAATGTTACACATGTTAAAGACTCATTGTAAATGCTTGTCAGTCCTGCTGCCAGCTTCTGAATTGTTTGCTCTGTTCCAAAAGGAAGCCTCAAGCACCTCTAGTTGTGTTTGGATGTCTGCAGCTGTGGTTCCATTTGCTGGCTGGAAAAATTGTCCCCCAGAATTCATATTGGCCACAGCTGGGTACATTTTTTTTTCATTGAGCTATCTACCCAACCACAAAGCTCCTTGTCAGTACTCGCTGTTTTAATCTTGTATTTGTTTAAAGTTTTTTCCAGTATGTTGAACATTTTATTTTGCCTGATAACTCCATTTCAAAGTTGTTGTCCCATTTTTATGTTACTTTGTTTGAACTGCTTTCATTGCTTAATATGTAAATTGTGCAGCTCTTACATTATGCAATCCTATAACATAAATTGCTAATATCTCAACATATATTGTGACCAAAAATATAAATCCCATAAATGCCATCAATTGGTGATGTGCAACCTGTAAATTAGTCAGTCTACTCACTATTGCTCCTCTGTACAGCTCATTTCAATATTTGACCACTGTGAATAATGTCCAAACACAGATGCTCTCACAAAAAATTGTTGATGGCCCCCTTGGTCACGCACTTGCCTTTTTAGTGTGGACGTATGCTAATGTATATTAGGTCAGGCATGCTTTCTAACTTTACATCAGGGATTTCCCTGATGTCTTATTTAAACACTACATCATGTCAGTTTAACTGATTATGGAGGACTAAGGTGGAAACAACATAAACCAGTGTGATGGAATAGAGCAGAAACTGTGTATGCTGCAAAATTGTTCAATTTATTGAAGTATAGTAAAATGCACTCACAATTGATTTACACATAGTATAGTGCATATAGTATAGCCAAAGCTATTTTTGCAATACGTATGGGTCACAGCAGTGCAGTTCAATCTGCACTCCTGTGACCCATTTTCAGCTAACAGTGGGCTAAAGCCTGCTGTCTGCTGAAGTCAGTCGGTCCAGACTCTAAAAGATCCAAACCATAAGGTCAGGATCCATCCAGAAGCCTGGACCTGGTGCCACCTGGCTCATCCTCCTCTCAGCAATCTGGCAAGAGCCTAAGCCAGCCTTCCTGTCACCTCCACAGCCCAGCAACTCCAGTGCATGCTGGAGGAGCAGAGAACTGAGCAGTTGGTGTCTGATAACTTAGTTTTCATTGCAGGGCCAGCAGGGGACAGATTTAGCATCAGTTAGATGCTGTATCCACACAGGTGAGTATAAATGTGTGGTGGTTTTTTTTTTTGGGGGGGGGGTGTTAGCCCATACTTCTCTTTCAGAGACTGTAAACCAGCTTCCAGTTTTTCTTATAAGCACTTTTTTGTTTTGCTAGTGAAACCATCCTGCCTGCTCCACTTTGCTTCTGGTTTTGTTTCATACAGTTTTCATCTTACATGGTTTATCTGCTAGACTTCGTGTGAGGTAGTTGCATATTCTTAATGAGGTTTATATTTTTTTGTTCACAACATCCACTATGTTGCCAAGAGTATTAGGACACCTGCCTTTATATGCACATGAACTCTAATGACATCCCAGTCTTAGGCCGTAGGGTTCAATATTGAGTTGGCCTACCCATTACAGCTATAACCGCTTCAGCTCTTCTGGGAAGGCTGTCCACAAGGTTTAGGAGTGTGCCTATGGGAATGTTTGACCATTCTTCCAGAAGTGCATTTGTGAGGTCAGGCACTGACTGCAGACGAGAAGGCCTTGTGACAAATGTGGTGCCCAACCCCTGCCCTCCTCACAAACTTGTGACAAAGGACCAGCCAATCTCACACTGTGCTGTCACTTGCGTAACAATGCCACTCTCAGCTGCACCCTGCACAAAGATTTTCCAGCTTGCAGGACCACAATATATGTTAGCAGCCTGAGAGTGATTGTCACTGGGTTAATTAATTACGCAGTTAACCCTTTGAATGCCAAAACCGCCACCAGATAGTATTGGGACTATCAACCCTTCACAATGTTAGCCAGAACAAATGTGAACAATAAATGTCTGTAAGACACACACCGTCACCACAGACAAGTATATTAAGAGGATTATTATACACAGTAGCACTCTTCAAGAGACAGGGATTCTTTAGTTTGCATGAAAAGCTTTAGAGACAGTTTACTTTTCAAAATAGGGTTTATTATTAAAAAGTTCAAAATGGTGCAATTAAAATAGTTACGGAAAAAGATGTTACACAGACATAAAGAGAACAATAAAGCAACAGAAATGAAAGGAGTTAAGAAGGCAGAATACTTGCAAAGTCCTGCTTTTAGCAGAGCCCAGTTGTCTGAGCAAAAATGTTGCCTTGGCTCTCATGTCTGGTAAGATGTTCCTTGATTGATGTTATACAAGAGCTCAATCTTAACAAGTCTGGTCAGTCCCTTTTCTATGATATCAAGGGGGTGTGGACAGAGACCAACTGACCAATAATCCGGTTTAGGGGATGGGTGCTAGGAGGTCACTAAATTTATGACCAAGTCCCAACTACAGTTTCATACTAATATTAACAACTTCCAATACGTGCAGGTGGTATTCTAGCAACTGGCAGATTATTCAGAATTATATTCCGAACTCAGGGATACCAAACACAGTGTACCTTTGTCACGGAGGAGGGAAGAGACTGCTTTCTCCCCTTTCCTATGTACTAACATCATGTATGATCTTGATTTGCTCAGTATGATATTCCCTATTCAAATGTATACCTAATATTGTGCCCTGTTCCTGTTGAATTCTATGAATTGAATGTGGAATTGTTACATGTTGAATAGACATTTTGTGGCACGTTCTGCATTCCTAGAGCTCTAATTGCCTTACAGATCAATGGGACTGCTTGACTGAGTTATTGTTTTACAATAGGGCAGAGGAAAGTGTTTTTCATGGTTTGTGGAGACCGACATCCTGCCAAGACTAATTAGCTGTTTACAGCTCTGGACGCTGGCATCTATTTGTGTTTTAATTAAAATAAGAGGCTCTTTTGAAGTTTGTTAAAAGATACAGCTACAAATTTCCATACTTTTTGCAAAGGGGTAGGGAAAAGAAAAGGTGTTCTGTTAGGTTGAGGTCAGGACTCTGTGCAGGCCAGTCATGTTCCTCCACCACAAAATCGCTCATGCATGTCTTTATGGACTTTGCTTTGCGAACTAGTGCACAACCATGTTGGAACAGGAAGGGGCCATCCCCAAACTGTTCCCACAAAGGTGGGAGCATGAAATTGTCCAAAATGTCTTGGTATGCTGACGTCTTAAGAATCCCCTTCACTGAAACTAAGGGGCCAAGCCCAACCCCTGAAAAACAACCCCACACCATAATCCCCCCTCCACCAAACTTTACACTTGGTACAATACAGTGAGGCAAGTATTGTTCTCCTGGCAACTGCCAAACCTAAATATATCCATCAGATTGCCAGACAGCGACACGTGATAAGTCACTCCAGAGAACACGTCTCCACTGCTCGAGTCCAGTGGCGGTGTGCTTTATACCACTGCATCCGATGCTTTGTGTTGCACTTGGTGATGTAAAGCTTGAATGCAGCTGCTCGGCCATGGAAACCCATTCCATGAAGCTCTCTACGCACGGTTGTGCTAATCTGAAGGCTACACGAAGATTGAAGGTCTTTAGCTATTGACTCTGCAGATGGTTGGTGACTTGGGCCCTGTGCGCTTCAGCATGTGCTGACCCCACTCTGTCATTTTATGTGGCCTACCACTTTGTGGCTGAGTTGATGCTGTTCTCAGCTGCTTCCTCTTTGTTGTAATACCACTAACAGTTGACCATGGAATATTTAGTAGCAAGGAAATTTCACGGGTGGACTTATTGCACAGGTGGCAACCTATCGCGGTACCACGCTTGAATTCACTGAGCTGAGAGCAATCCATTATTTCAGAAATGTTTGTAGAAGCAATCTGCATGCCTAGGTGCTTGATTTTATACACCTTCTCCCATAGCCAAAACTGTAAGTAAGAGGAAATCCTTTCAGAATGAGGGAATATCTTGGTGTCACCAGAACTAGTGTTCCCATTGGAAGATTTCCTCTCAATTGCTGTTCTGGGCACAACCTAAAATTTGGGGTTTTCTTTCACTTTTGGGGATAATGGGAAACAGGACAAATGGAGAGGGAGAGACTCCTTAACGGGAACACAGACAGCAATAAATACCTAATAGGTGTTGTCACGGATCCACGATCGCCGCCACCAACAGGCGACAATCGCACGACCGTGACTAACAGTAATACGTCACGCCCACGGCATCAGACCCCAGACCTTCTCACCAAACTCGTGACCGAAGGACCGGCCAATC